ACATACACTGTGAAAACAGCATCCCCTAGAGACACATGATACGCTCACCACGCCTTTTCAGTCCTTGTTGTGAGGGCGTGTGTGGAGGGCAGAGGACGATTTTGTGGAGGCGATTCTCTCCTTCCACCTTTTCGTCGGTTCCAGGTTCTCGGGTCACCAGGCTTGCACAACAAATCGCTTTACCTACTGAGCCATCTTGTTGGGCAATATTCATCAAGCTTGAGGGAAAAAAAATTCATCCTGTGTTTTATGATAGTTTAACTTGGGGTTCTGCAGATGAGGAAGGGCACTGCTCAGGGCTGGAAAATTCCTGTCAACCAGAATCAAGTCCATGGTCCCAAATTAACTCTCACAAACGAAGCCATTAGATTCCCTGGCTCAAGTCAGCTCAGATGCCAGCACCACACAAGCAGGGTCACAGCCAGAGGTATCCTAAGTCTGCAGGACTGGTGCTCTGCCTCGCTCCCCTTCTTGCCCATGCAAGCCACTATAAAGATCTGGCTTTCTCTGCACCCTTTCTGCCTCTTGTCAAGCCTTGGCACCTCTCCCATGACCCTGTTTCCCGAGCCTAAGGATCTGAGCATGCAAATGTTTTTCCTCATAACAGTCATTTCTGTGGCTGTGTGTCTTCCTACGCTTCCTAAAAATGACCACATGCACAGGACAGTTCCGTCAGCTCTGGGAGTGCCCCCTGCAGTACAAGGTAGAACTGGATGCTGTTGGGGGTGGAGGGGTGGAAAGAGGGACAGAACGCAGGTGAGGGAAAGCATTTAGCTGGAGCTTCATGAGACGCCATGCCTGGTTATATTTTATAGTCACTTCAAGCCTGAAGTTTTGTCCTAGGGACACAAGAAGTTGATGGTTCTGGTGTGCCTTCTGTCTCTAGCATCTAATGAGATCATTTCTAAACTGTTCAGTGAATTCGTGGATTTAATATGGCTAAAGGCTGAAAGACAACAAGTAAAGGCAGTTCTAATAAAAGGCTAGCACCGTACATCCAAATATACGATTCAATTTAAAAAAAAGAAAAAAGAGCGGAAAAAACCCTCAAAGGTCGTATCAATCCAGTGAACAGTACAGATGGATTATCCTAAGTTTGGAAGTAAGAAGTCCCAACTGGATCTCTGCAGGCCACAGGCCATTTCTTCAGCTTCTAGTGGCTACTATATTCCTTGACCGAAGGCTTTCTTCACCACCAAATCTAACTATGGCCAGGAGACTCTCACCTCCCATTGCTTTACCCTTGCTTCAGGTGGCCTGTATTCTTTTCTGACTGCCTGCCCTACCCACTTCCTCGTATATCCTCACACAATCTTTCCACTTCAAGTCTAGCTCAATGCCAACTTTAATTCAACCTGCAGCCCATCTCCTGTCATTCGCAGCGAGTATTAAGATTAAGGGACCCGTAGATGGGCATCTGTGGGTGCCCATTATTCTGCCTCCCACAGTCTCCTGTGGCTTCTCTGTTGCCCTTGGTCATTCTCACTCAGTTTAAGCTGCACAAACACAAGGAGATGAAGCCCACTTCTCTTCCTGTGACTTCAGACACAATGGAGAATTCTACCAGCCAGGGAGATGATGCCCCATAGTAACAGATGTTAGGCATTCGGACAGTGAGCCTTTATTAAACGCTTGTTGCATGCCAAGAACCAAGCCAGATGTTAGTGATGATACAAGCAGGAGGAACCAGTTTCTTCTCAGGGAGCGAATACCTAATGAATGAAATGAACTGCCTGGAGAACCCAGGGACAAAGCCTGAAGGGAAGGGAACAGTATGATGAGATGAGAGAGTGTATTGAGCTACATCCCCATAATGAGGGCAACTGAACCCCAGGGAGACCGCAGCACAGGAGGAGAGCTCACTTCAATTCCACCCCCAAGTTTTAAATCAATATTTTTAAAAAGATTCTTGTGACTTTGTATTTACATGTGCAAATAGATGCCATATATGGAGTTACAGGTGGTTGTAAAGCACCTGGTGTGGGTGACCAGAACCAAACGTAGGTCTTCTAGAAGACGTGTGAGCACTCTTAACCACTGAGCATCCCTCCAGCCCCTAGGTTTGTAGCTTTTAAAAATTATCTCTGTGTGTGTGTGTGTGTGTGTGTGTGTGTGTGTGTGTGTGTGTGTGCGCGCGCGCGCGCGCGCGTGCGCACATATGCCACATATTTGAGTGCCTGCAGATCCAGAAGTAGGTATCAGATTCTCAGGAACTGGATTACAGACAGGTGTAAAGCCAACTGATGTGAGTCCTGGGAACTGAGCACAGGTCTTAGTAAGAGCAGCAAGCACTCTTGCCCACTGAGACATCTCTCCAACACCAGGTTTGTCATTTTTAAAAACTATGAATGAGTACAAAGAAACAGACCCTGTTAGACTCTCCCCCTTTTCCTTCTCTCAGCCTGCCTCCATGTCACTGAGCAGGCACAACTGTCCTACTGAATACATATCCACTCTGTTATCTATGTCTGGACATGAATTAGATGGGTCACTTGAAGCTACTTTTTATATACACGATTGATTCTCTGTGACCAGACTAAAAACAGGTTCCCAGGACAGGACAGTGTGTGTTTATGAATTTCCAAGGCAAAAGTTGAGTTAACTGTGTTGAAGGAGATGTTCATTTTTAGTGTAAAGAGATACTGTCAAGTTGCCAACCAAATATGCAAATCAGTTTATTTTCTATCCACAGTAGTTCTTCACAGTCTGGATGGCACTTTAACAAAATCTTTCCAGTCCAATGAATAGAAAGGAGTATATCAGTGTGGCTTTGATGTGCATTTCTTCTTTTTTTTAAATTTGTTTTTGGTTTCTTTGCGAGACAGGGTTTCTTTGTGTAGCTCTCACTGTCCTGGAACTCACTCTGTAGCCCAGGCTGGCCTCAAACTCACAGAGATCCACCTGCCTCTGCCTCCTTGAGTGCTGGGATTAAAGGCATGCGCCACCACCACCCAGCTCTTTTTCCTTTATTAAAAAAGGTTTTTACTTTAAAAAATTTTCTGTGCATGTTTGCGTATCCATGTGTATGTGCATGCAAGTGCCTCCAGAGATCAGAAGCATCAGTGGTCCTGAAGCTGGTGTTAGAGGCAATTTACAACTGCCTGCCACAGTGCTGGGAATTGAACCGGAGTCCTCTGCAAGAGCAGCAAGTGCTCTCAACCACTGAGCCATCTCTCTAGCCCCTTGGTTTGCATTTTTTAATGAGCATAATTAAAACAATTTCCCCATGTGCCTATTTCTGCTTACATCTTTGAGCCATCTGGGATTTATTTTGAGACTAGACCTTTATGCTGTCTCATCCAGGAAGACCTGTGCCTGGCTGTATTGACATCCATCATCAGCCATCAAGTGCAAATTCAAAACTAAAGCTAAAATACGACAACACTGGACTTATGGTAATGGCTGAACTAAAACCAGTGACATCAAATGCTGATGAGGATGCAGAGAAGCTGAGGCTCGTTGCTGTGGACACAGTGGCACACACACTGGAGGACACTGGGAGAGCAGGACTGATGTTCTGCACCTCCTCTATCAGCTGTTTTGCTTTTGTTTTTGTTTTTGTTTTTCTGAACTGTGACCAAATATCCAACAGAAGTAATCAGGGGGAAAAGTCTGCTTTGGTTCACAGTTTGAGGGTATAGTCTGTCACAGTGGGCGGAGCAGGAAGCTGTTTGTTCACATCTCAGTCAGCCAGGAGACACAGCTCGCTCTCTTCTCTTCCCCCGTTCCTATTCTGTCTTGACCGGCAGAAATGGAACTACACACATCCACAGTAAACATCTACCCCTCCCTCACCCCAGTTTACCCTCTGCAAACACCCTCACAGGCACACCCAAAGGTGAGCCTCACTAATGCCCTGGTCAAGTCGGTGATCCAAAGGAATGATCGCATCACTCACCTCATGGCTCGGAGCTGCACTCAGGCAGAGAAAGGAGCCTTCCTACGTTAGGTTTCTGTCGCTACAACCAAATACCAAAACACCGACTAGTTAGGCAAATAGACGATGGCTTTAGTTTATGAATCTAGAGGTTCAAGTCCCAGATTTGGGGGCCTCAGATGAAGATAGCATTGTTCTAAACCATGTGACCTTTAAATGCCATACATAGGGAGCCTGGGCTTGAGTGTTCATTTTTTTTCATGTTTTCTTTGTGTGTGTGTGTGGGGGGGTGTTTGTTTGTTTGTTTTGTTTTTTGAGGTGGGTGTCCAGTGGTGGTGGTGGTGGTGGTGGTGGTGGTGGTGGTTGCTGTTATTGTTGTTAAGATAGAGTCTCATTATATAGCCCTGACTGGCCTGGAACTCCTTATATAGACCAGGCTGGACTCCAACTCACAGAGACCTGCCTGTCTCTGCCTCCCTTCGCTGAGATTAAAGGCATGCGCTGCCCACACCCGTCTTGAGTGTTTATTTCTTAAGAACATTCTTTCTTGGCATCACAGTAGGTACGTGGTCAACTCAGTAAATGTGACATTGCCATACTACTTTGACCTTCCATATTAGTTTGTTTTTTTTGTTTTTTGTTTTTTTTTGCTGGTTGCCCAGATGTGTCGAGCTGGGAATCCAGCGTGGGGCCAGCGTGTACCTGGCAGCCAGACCTAGGGCAGCCTTAAACTCAGTAGATCTAGCTCTGCTGTCAATTTCTCTTGTTATTTACACAGTTAGGGTAAGTGATAGAGACCTGCTTGCTCAGCTCTGTGGGCTACGGCGCTTTGACAGTCCCTGAGAGCTACACTCAGGTCTTCCACATCGCGATTACAGTAAGGTTTGGGACAGCCTGCGGAAAGGGTTTGAGCAGCTCCTGGTGAGAGAGGAACCTGGGAAGTCTAAAGGAGTAGCAAGGAAGGACTCTGGAGCCTCCGGGGCTCCGGACTGGCTTCTTCACGGTCACCTGGAGCCCGCGGCAGCCAATCGGGGTGCAGCCGTGTCCCCGCGGCCAATGGGCAGGTGGCGCGGCGCTCCCCGCGGCTATAAGTGCGCGCGGCCGGAGGACAGCAAAAGCGGCGCGCAGCGGAGGCGGGATGCTCAGGGCAGCGGAGCCCCGAGAGGCGCGGGTGGAGGCGAGTGGTCGCAGTCCCTGGGCAGCGCCACCCTCGCAGTCCAAGCGGCTCACCTCCTTCCTCATCCAGGACATCCTGCGGGACTGCGCGGAGCGGCGCGGGGGACACGCGGGCAGTCCACAGCACCAGCGCCAGCCAGACCCGAGGAGGGACCCTGCGCCAGAGCCTGAGGAAGCAGGAGGTCTCGCCGTAGCTCTGGGGGGCCCGCCAAGTATCCGACCCAGCCCTGCGGAGACGCCGGCTGAACCCGAGACAGGTAAGTGGAATAGACTTAGAAGCTGGCGCGCTGAGCTGGAGAGGACCGCTCCAAGGCTGGTGGCCCCGAGCTCTGGATGCAGGCATACAGGGGCCCAAGGCTACGGGGAAGGACTTCACCGCACCTAGCCACCTTGGGCATCAACCTTGAGGGCCACTAACAACTTTGCCATCAGTTTGACTCTTTTTCCAGTAACTCCAGCCAATTAACCACTGGCGACTAGAACCAATGAAAAATAAAAAAAAATAATCCATTAATATTCATAAATCAAGCCCAACCTCAGGCTCCCTTTGTATCTCCATTCCACGAACCATAAAATTATGGATGTCCCTTTAGGTCTTTAGAATAACATCATGTCGGCTTTTGTCCCCTACCCCCAGCCTCATGCATTTCTTCTCATGCTGGTACCTAAGCCGCAGTAACAGAAAGAGGGTTGGGACAGAAGATGAGCTGGCCACCAACCCAGGCCATCTGGCTCATCCCCACAAGCCTTAATCACCTACTTAAATGTCCCCGGGATGCCTTGGTTTCCCTGTTCGCATCTCCCACCTCTCTTTGCTACCCACATCCAGGATCCCGGTTTCATTGACATAGGACAACATGGCAGAAAGTTTAAAACTGTAAAGCACTAAGCCCTAAGCTTAGTTCACACTGATTATTAGAAACGAATACATAGTATAAAAACCTACTCACTTCTCTTTGGGGTAGTTCCTTAGTCAGGCGAAAAAAATAAATGAAATGTATCCAAGATGACAGTGGGCTGTTTGTTCTCTGGCCCAAAGCAGAAAGGTGGCTTGAATTCTGGACTAACATGTAACTTTTTCCCCTCTCTCCTCCTCTGCTCTTCTCCAGATGGGCACTTTGAGCCTTATCTGTTGGACTGTGAACACACTTCAGGCGACTTATCAAGCACCCCGCAAGTCCCTAAGCAGCCTCAGAAGCGCTCCAGGGCTGCCTTCTCTCACACTCAGGTGATTGAGTTGGAGAGGAAGTTCAGCCATCAAAAGTATCTGTCTGCCCCTGAAAGGGCTCACCTGGCCAAGAACCTCAAACTCACCGAAACCCAAGTGAAAATATGGTTCCAGAATAGACGCTATAAGACTAAGCGAAAGCAGCTGTCGGAAGACCTGGGGGTCTTGGAGAAGAGCTCACCTTTGTCTTTGCCAGCCCTGAAAGAAGACAGCCTGTCCGGTACCGCCTTGGTCTCCATGTACACCAGTTACCCCTACTATCCATACCTTTATTGTCTGGGCAGCTGGCGTCCAACTTTCTGGTAACAACAGTTCAGATGACAACTGCGTAGATCAGAAACTGCCTTCCCTGGGGGTCTCTGGGAAAAAGCCACAATGGCTGAGGTCAAGGAGTCGGAGCAAGAGGTGTGCAGACCCAAACGGTTGGGGGTTCCCAGGGAATATTCCAATTCTTCTCTGGTGGGCCAGTGGAAGATCTGGAGCAGTGACTATTTTCAGTATCTAGTCACAGTTCCAAGTGTTCTGTAGGTCACTGCTCTCTGCTCCCTGTTTGGAGAGAGTCAGACAAGTTCGTCTGTTTCTAGAACTTAGTGTGACTTTGGATGCAATGGTTACATGGTTCCTAGGAATTCTGTTGCTGCAACTCCATTGGTCTCCCATAACTGAGTATCATGAAAGGGTCAAGCAAAGGGAAGAAGGACCCTTTAGCTGAGGATGTCCTCTTGAATTAAACTTGGGTTAAAAAGTCTCTTGTTGGCCTTGGACAATGGCCAGGGTTTCTCTCTGCCCTTGTAAAAGTGAGGGTAAATGGAAGATTTGAAGAAGAAAAAACAGACCTTAGCGATTGAGGAAGGCTGGCACGGGACATAAAGGGGGTGGGAAGTGGAATTTTTAACCTCTTGCCCATTTTGCAGTGGTACATAATTCAAGAATTTACAGGGCCACTTGAGAGGGGCAGGGTGCACACAGTGTGGGGTTTAAGACAAGCTGTGTAAACAGTTTGCCTGCAGGGGTGGCCTCAAAACAGGCTCTTCCTGTCCCAAACAAGGGCCTAGAGGGTTTCCACACTCCAGGTGAGCGCCTCAGTTGTGACTGAGGGAAGAAAAGGCCTTTGCCCATGCTTCCTGCCTTCACGGGGGAACTTAAGAGTCAGGAGCTTTCAGGTCTGAATTCACACTTCCTTATGAAAGAGGTGCCATCATTTTATAACAAAGAACCTTCCTTCCTTCATTTATTTTATTTTATTTTATTTTATTTTATTTTATTTTATTTTATTTGTTCTTTCCTACAGGACATCTCAGTTCAGGCTTTTTATCTATGCATGCCTCTTATTTAGCTTAAGATCTGCTCCCCCACTCTCAAGTTTTATCTTCTTGTGGTTTAAAACAAACAAACAAACAAA